CTCGCTCTTCCCTTCTCTCTCCTTTCTACTCTCCTCTCTTTTTCCCTCTCAATCTCGCTTCTCTCATCATTATCAATCTCTCTTCTCTTTCCTCATCTTTTCCTCTCAGTCTCTCTCCCCCTCATCTTTCACCTCTCTCAGTTTCTCAAGTCTCTCATCTCTCTCTATCCCTCTCTCATCTTTCCCTCTCAGTCTCCCTCCCTCTGCCTCCTACCTGGACTCTGCAGCCCTGAGCCTGCCTGGTGGCTTGACCTGGGCTGCTCCATCAATGGCTCACATCTTCACTCTCAGCTGCTTGCCTTTTTCTGTGAGTGGGCACACCCCTGGCTCGCACACCCTCTGTATGGGCCTCTTTCCAGTTCTACACGTGTGTGTGTGTGTGTGTGTGTGTGTGTGTGTGTGTGTGTGTGTGAGTGTGTGCGTGCGCGCGCCTCAAAGTCTTCTGCTTCTTCTTTCTTTCATGCTCTTCATTTCCCCTCAGGTAGCTGGATCGATACAAACAGGAAAGAGAGACACAGAAATACAGCAGGCTCGCCTCCATAAGAGCGCACTTTGGTGTCAGCCCCAAGACAAATCCCGGTGCAGGGAGAAGCGGTATGAATTCCCTTCAGTAAGCCAGCCTCTGTGGTCTTGGCTTCCCTGTCTGTAAATCAATGGTAATGACTACACTTTAGCTGCAGACAGCTATTGTAAGTTATGGCTGTGTGGGAAATGCTATTGTGCCTGAGTAGTACCTAGAACACCACTTGCACATTGAATTCACCGAAGGGCTCGGTGAATAGCAGAGGTTGTGATGGAGTGGTGTTCACTGCTCCAGTTTCTTGTTCGTTCCCTTCAGTGTTTAGAGGGAATGTGGAAACATCACAGATGAACAGAAGTTGGAGACAATGTCAGGATCCAGGAAAGCGTGGAACTGTGGAGAGGGATGGGAATGAGGGACCAAGGCTGGAAAGTGTGCGTGTGTGCGTGCGTGCGTGCATGTGTGCGTGCATGTGTGTGTGTGTGTGTGTGTGTGTGTATTCCACGGTGCATATGCGGAGGTTAGAGAACAACCTTGATGTCAGTCCTCACCTTCCACCTTGTTTTGAGGCAGAATTTTTTTGTTCACTACTATGTACACAAGGCCAGCTGACCACCAGCTTCCAGAACTCCTCCTGTCTCCACATCCCATCATAGGAGGTCTAGGATCTTAAATTCATGGGCTGCTGCATCTGGTTCTTCGTGGGTTCTAGGGATTGAACTCAGGTCCTCAGACTCCAATAGCAAGCATTTTACCCACTAAGCCATCTCCCTATTTCCAGGAGTAGAGCCTTAGAAAGAATCTTAAACCTGGATCTCTTGGATTCTGGAATGATGGCTCAGCAGTTAAGAACACTAGTTGCTCTTATGGAAGGCCCAGGTTCAGTTCCCAGCACTGACATGGTGGCCTAACAATCATCTAGAACTCCAGTTCCAGAAGAAACGATGTCTTCTTCTGGCCTCTGTGGGTGTTGTATGCATGTGGTATAGTTACCAGGCAAAACACTCATACATATAAAATAAAAATAAATAAAAATTAAAAAATTAATTTATTTAAATAAATAATAATAATAAAAGTCATATGGAAACCTAAAAAAAAGAGAGAATATATATATAATGTATATATATCTAGAATGTGTTATATTCATGTATGAAAAGCTCAGAGTGGTGACATACACCTATAATCCCAGCATGGGGGTTATCATTCTCTGCAGCCTTTTTCCTCAGTGGGCCCCCGACCATATCTAAATGGTTCATCATCTAACAAATTTACTTTCTAAAAATTTCTCACATTTTCCCTTTCTCTCCATTCCCACTGCTTCTTTAAAGTTCTTTTCTCATCATCTGTCTATAACTGACCCCAAGCTAAGCTCTACAATCTTACTCTGCAAAAGGGAATCCTTGTTTCATTAGCAACAGCTTTAAGCTGGAAGCGTGTTAGAAATGCAGAATTCTTTGCCCACCCCGCCCCTCAACTCCTGAACTGGAATCTACAATATCCACAATTTTAACAGCATCCAAGTGATTCAAAATCATATAAAATATTAAAGTCCTTGTCTAAGGCATGCCTGAGTAAACAGAAATCTGATTATGACTCCCCTCTACTTAAAATCATACAAGCATCCTACCAAGACACACATAGGATGCATGAGACCTTACATAACCTCACTCATCTTCTAATCATTCCCCATCTAATTTACAATTCTGTAAGCTTTAACCGCTTGTACATTCCAAAATACACAACTCCATGCTATATTCCGCCTCTACACCTTTTCCCATCCACCTCCTTGGCCAAGAACACAACTTCTTCTTATATGGCTAATGCCTATCCAAACTTTAAGCTTCAAAAGATAATCTGTCTGATAACCGCCTCGGTTGACTGAAGGGTCCCCGTGGGCCCCTAACCCTACATCCCTGGACTTAGTATATTATACTGACATTATCTGCTTAAGTGTTCCTCTTGGCCTAAACTTTTCTCAAAGGTGGAGGCCTCATCCTCTTGACTTTGTTCCTGAGTTTAATACGGGAGAACAAGCTCAAGAAATGTTTTGATAAGATGAAATGTTGACTTCTTTCTTTTTTAATATTTCATTTAATTTTATTTTATGTGTATGAGTGTAGTGCCTGCATGCATGTGAGTGCACCCATGTCCTGCAGTGCCCCCAGAGGTCAGTAGAGGATATCAGATCCCCTGGAACTGGAGTTATATACGGTTGTTAGCCATGGTGTGGGTGCTGGGAATGGAAACCGGGTTCTCTGGAAGAGCAGTCAGTGCTCTTAACCTCTGAGTCATCTCTCCAGCCTCCAACTTTTTGATTTTTATTTCTGGCTTGATACAAATCAGTCTTCCCATTACATTTCTTTTCCTAAAAGAAATACTGTGAACCATGCCTTACACCTGATCTAAAGTTGGGTGAAGTCATTATTTTGTTCAAACCCAAGACTTTTCTGCCTATGGGCAAAAGAAGGACTTAAAAGAGCCACATTAAGGAGAAAGGCTTTTGCAAATGTCCCAAGGCCACCCGCATCACTCTGTGCCTGGCCTATTTCTAAGTTCTTAGCACAGCTGTCCTCAAAGTCCCTCCTCTGGCCCGCTAGCCCCGTGGTGCTGGCGCCATTTCCACTGAAGGGAGCCTCGCCCTAAGTCAGCGCTCAGGCCCAGAGGTGGTCACCTTCTCCAGGGCAGCTCGTCATCGTCCTGGTCGCTCTCTGTCACCGATCCCTCGATCACTGTTTCGTCACTGTCTGCATCCCGGGCACCTTCCTCCATCTTCACTCCTTACTCAGGGTCCTTAGTCTCGCGATCTAGTTCCGTCTTATTTCACACAAAAGGACACTTTGCGGATCCGAGGAAAGTGCGAGTATATAATACTAAAACTCTTGGCACCCGCCACGCCTCTCTGGCCGGCACCCGCACACTTTCGTCGCTGTCTAAGCGCTGCGCGCGCTGACTCTCCCACCTCCCGCAGCGCCAGCAGACGGCGGGCGCGCGCTACCCTTCACAGGCGCGCAGGAAGCTCCGGCCCCGCCCCCGCCTCCCGGGCCACACCCCGAGCACGAGGCCCGGCAGGTGGGGTTCACAGATCTCGCCTCTGGAGCACGACGACCCTCCCTCAGCACTCTACCCTCGCCCCACCACAGACCACCAGGCCCCGCCCCCTAGCTCCCCTGTCAAGCCCGAGCACGAGACACCCCGCCTCAACACGAGGCCCCGCCCCCAGGACTCCAGGCCCCGCCCTGGGTTCCACGGGCTCGCCCCGGAGCACGAGACACCCCCCCTCTCAACACGAGGCCCCGCCCTGGGTTCCACTGCCTTGCCCCAGAGCAGGAGATGCCCCCTCAACATGAGGCCTCGCCCGGGGCTCCATGGCCTCGCCACCCAGCGGGAGACGACCCCCAGCATGAGGCCCTGCTCCCAGGACTCCAGGCCAAGGGTGCTCACCTTCTCTAGGTAGCGAGCCTTTAAGCGTTATCACCCTTTCTCAAAAGCTGCTGAAAGAATTGCGGTTGATGCTGTCGGGGGTCAGGAACCCTCTTCAAGTCGCCTTCTTTGTGCGGTGTACCTGATGATTCTGATGAGCTCTTTTTCCCTTTCCTACCCTCCCCGTGCCCACAGCTTGCAATACATTCTGAAACCAGAATGTGACCTTACACTCAGAGGTTTCTGCAGTCTGGGACATCGCTCCTTTCTCCTTAATCTTTCTGACACTCCCTCCCCAAGTGTCCCAGTAAGTAGGCAGAACCAGTATTTAACAGGTTTTAAGGTGAGCTAAAACATGTATTTTGTGTTTTTCTCACAACTCTAAATTATTCTGAAATACAGATTGCATAGGAAAAACCGAATAAATGCTTTTCCTTTTATCAATTTTTAAAATAGTAGTAGTAATTTTCTTAAATATTTTTATTATTTTTGTTTTATGTGTATGAGTGTATTGCCTCCATGTGTGTAAGTGCACCCTTCTCGTGCAATGCCTGCGGAGGTCAGAAGAAGGTGTCGGGTTCCCTGGAAGTGGAGTTATGGATAGTTATTAGCTACCATGTGGCCGCTGGGAATCGAACCCGGGTCCTCTGCAAGAGCAGTCAGTGCTCTTAACCGCTGAGCCATATCTCCAGCCCACAGAAGTAGTTATTTTCTTAATGAAGATCTAAAGTCTTTTTTAACCATTCAATGAATTTTTTAAAGTTGTGCATGTGTGTGTGTATGTGTGTGTCCATGTATATTGCATGTGTTCAGAGGACAACTTACTGGAGTCACTTCTCTCCTTCCACCATGTGGGTTCCAGGGGTAAAACAAGCTGTCAGGCTTCACAGCAAGTCCTTTACCACCACACCAGGCCTGAGTCATCTTACATATTTCAGATGTGTCAAACTGAATAGTTTTTATGGTGCTGGAGATTGGACCTTAGGGTCTCGTGGGTGCACTAGACAAATGCTCTACCACTGAGCTATACTTCTAGCCTCTTTCTATTTTTTAAGTCAAGATGTCACAAAGCCCCCTGGGTTGACCTTGCATGCACTCTGTAGTCCAGGCTGGCTTTGAATTTGTAGTCCTCCTGTCTCAGTCTTCTGAGTAGGTGAGATTGCAGGTGTGTATCACCAGGTCCAGCTTTATTTGAAGGTTTTTCAGTTCAAACTACAGTCACACAACACACAGGACATTTCAGCCAATAAAGACTATAGTTGCCTAGTGATGTCCAAAGTCTTAGTTTGTGTAAGTACAGCCAGTAATGTTAGCACAACTGCATAATCATCCAAGGAATGTACCCCATGAGCTTCCACCTACCTACGGGAGAGGAAGATTCAGGACAGGGCTGAATTTCTTGGCCCCCTGGAATCTTTAGTGTCTATCATATATACCATGTATATGTATTTAATTTTGTTGTCAAGTGGATGGAACTAGGGTTTTATGACACCCTAACTGCTGTTCTGCTCACTACTTGTAGTGACTTAATGCCATTATTGTCTTTTTGTATTTACTATTTAGATCGTATTTAAGTCACTGCTGTTTAAATTCATCACTGGCAGAAACTTTTTAAGTTTGCAGAAACATTCTTCACCACAACTGTGAGTTATCAGAAGAGTAAATATGCAAAGATTAGACCTGTATTCTCTTCACATTTGTCCATCTACACCTTCCATGTTTACATGGCATGCAATTTCCTGTTTATTATGTTCATCGACACTTTTGACCACTCAGCTCTACTTTCACAGCAAGGGAGTGGAGATTGCATGCCCAACAAAGATTGGTGGGTGGCTCTAGATGCCCTACACCAATAGGTGACTTTCCGCTGATAAGAGCATTTGTTCCAAGCGCTTTCTGAAACTGACATTCCTTTTTAATGCTTTCTCCTGTAGTAGAAAAATATGTTACTTTTGCATTTTTATTTTTTCATGAAAGTTGCCAATATTTGAATACTTATTTATTTTTAAATTTATTTTTATTGAATTTTTTGTATTTCATACAGAACAGCTCCAACAACATTTTTGTTTTATGTTCATGAGTGTTATGGCTGCATGTATGTAAGTACACCTGTGTCATGCAATGCCCACAGAGAACAAAAGAGGGTGTCAGATCCCCCGGAACTGGAGTTACACATGGCTCCTGGCTACTATGTAGGTGCTGGGATCTGAACCTGGGTCTTCTGCAAAAGCAGCCAGTACTCTTTTTTAAGAATATATATATAGTTATTATTTTTATATTTTATGTGCATGAGTGTATTGCAAGCATGTTTGTAAGTGCACCCATGTCATGCAATGCCCACAGAGGTCAGGGTATAGGAGTTCCTCGATCTGGAGTTACTGACTATTGTTAACCACCATTGTGCTGGAAATGATTCGAACCTGGGTCCTCTGGAAGAACAGCCAGTGCTCTTAAGCACTACACCATCTTGCCAGCTGAGAGCTGCCAATATTTGAAGCACAAAGAAAAAATGGCAGAGCCAAGTCTCCAGAATGCCAATATCATTTTAAAAGAAAAAATTGTTTATAAAGTTCAGAGTTTCAGTGCAAGACAGAGAAGAATGGAGAGGACATCTGTGTCAGGAATTCGGGCTGCAGTGCAATTCAAACTGGTTTAGGCAGAATGAGTTGAGTCATGGAACTGAACCATCCAGCAGAAGCCAGACATTTTAGATATGACAGGAACCAGATACTAAATAGTATTTTATTTCCATAAAACTCTTTTCTTTTCAATTAAATAAAAAAATTTCAAATATATTGAAATACATTAAATATATAAAATCTGGTTTTCACAACAATAACTGACCACTTTTGGGAAAGTTGCTAGGCACTATTTACTTTAAAATTAACAGAGGGAGAAATATCCTTTTCTAAGAAATCTATTTCAGGATAACCAAAGTTAGTGAAGGAAACGTATTATATTTTATAACAATATATAATATTTCTTACCCTTTTAAGAAAAGGTCTTATGTGTAAGAAATAAAATCTAGGGCTGGAAAGATGGCTCAGCGGTTAGAGCACTGGCTACTCTTGCAGAGGACCCAAGTTCAGTTCCCAGTACCCACACGGTGGCTAACAACAGTCCTGTAACTCCAGTTCCAGGGGATCTGACAACCTCTTCTGACCTCTGTGGGCAATGTGCCACACAGGTCCACTTTCATACATGCAAGCAACACACTCATACACATAAAATAAAAATAATAAATAAAATATTTCTTAAAAAGAAATAAAATCTGATGGTTCATTTTCAAAAGTGCCTGGAGCCAGCTTAAGTATATCTATAAATGAACAGAAAACATAAGATCCTTGTGATTGCCTGCTAGTCTCGCTACCTCCTCCACCCAAACTCTACTAGTGCTACCCTCCTCAAGTCAGAAGTTTAGAGTCGAAAATTACTAACAGTCAAGCTTGCTGCAAGGTCATATGTCTGATAAACTTTCAAATAAACAGGATGCAAAACACAGATGAATCCATACTCGAGTTTTGTTGAGAAAAAGACAAAGGCAAGTATCAGAGGGAAATATAAGACTTAGATTACATGTAAGATTGTACCCTCTTGATTACTCAGTTAATGAGGAAAGGGAAGAAGAGTCATGTGTTCAGGAATTAAAAACTGTTCTCTGCATGCAATCAACATGGCTGCCACTCTGAGTTGACACCCAACTTTGCAAAATCATAAAATAAACTGCTTCACCTTAATATTCTGAGTTTCCAGTGCTCTTATTAATAATGAAGTGAGGGTCTTTGTTTCTCACACTCATACACATTATGTAATCCAAGCTGTTCTTAAACTTGTCCATTCTCCTGCCCCAGTCTCTTAAGTCCTGGGGTTACAAGAATGCCACCATACCCAACTTATCTTTCTTTATAGAAAAAAACAAAACGAAAAGAACACAAAAAATAAGCCCTCAAAATTAACAAATACAGGGGAAATTATAGAATTGGAAAAAAAATCACCATTTGTAACTCAAGAAAACAATGGATCTAGGCAATAATCATAGCTGCTGAAGACAATAACAGAGAGCTGGGAATAGCTCAGTTGGTAGAGTACTTGCCTAACTAGTACAACCCTCTGGGCTCAATCCCCAGCACTACACCAACTGGGCACAGTTCACACCTGTAGTCCCAAAAAGGAAATGATCGCCAGGTATGGTGGCATAAGCCTTTACTCTCATCACTCAAGAGGCAGAGATAGGCAGATCTTTGTGAGGCCAGCCCAGGCTACATAGTGAGTTCCAGGTCAGCCAAGGCTACATAGTGAGACCTGTCTTTAAAAAAAAAAAAATAGAAAGGAAGGAAGGGAGGGTTGGAGGGAGGGAGGGAGGAAGGAAGGAAGGAAGGAAGGAAGGAAGGAAGGAAGGAAGGAAGGAAGGAAGGAAGAATTTGCAATGAATGGATCAGGCTGACTACACTTCAACTCACTGTTAAATCCTAACCTCACTAAAAGTGAGACAACCAGCTGTGTTATTTTCTTTTATAATACCATAAAAACACATGGTACTATCAAGTTTTTTAGGCCAAAATAATGATGAAAACTTAAATCTAACCAAATCTCT